ACAGTTTGCAAAAGTTTTTGAAGCAGCTTACATTGCTGTATTCCATACTTGAAAAGGGAACAGTATCAAAAATTGGCAAGTGAATCCAAATCTTGAAGACGATCATTCAGCCCATCTAGACTAATGTCAGCTCATTGAACAAGCTGACCAATTAGTTGCATGTTTTTCTCTTGCCCCCATCTCCCTTCAATTTTTATTTTCTTTCCCAACTATTTACTCAATTGCCTTTTGAAAGTTATTGCTGAAAGTTATTGCTGAATCAGCATCCATCAACCTTTTGGGTAGCACACTCCAAGTCACAACAAATCTCTTAATCTCCCCTTTGTTTTTTGTTACAAATATTTCCAATACTTTTTCTAGTGTTCATTTACAGACTGAGTCTTACTCTCAGTGCTGCTCTGCAGTGATTGTATCTGGTGTACACATCCATTCCATAAGGAGTGTCAAAATCAATTTTTATTCCTCAGTTTTAAAGATTCATTTTCTTTTAGGCTTCATTGTTTGTGGGACAAATGTCCGAAGTCTAAAGATAGAAAATCACCTTGTGAAAGGCTTTGGATGTCACCAAAATTTAAGACTAGTCAAAGGCAGAAAACCCAATGGACATGGGCTTAGCTGCTTGTTTTTAACTGGTGTAGAAGGGCCTTTTTCCTTGTTGTAGCCTCTGTGGCTCTATATAGGTCACGTTTACCTGTGTAATAATAGATGGGATTCACCATCAAACTCTCAATCAATGCTTAAATATTATCTTTATATTGTGAATCAAAATGGAGGAGCATGTGTTTCTGTGGCTAAAACCAAAGGTGATGCTTTCAAAATTGTTGGCAATTTATACACAGGAAGGTAACTGTGAGCTTTGTTTTAGTGGCTAAGGTTTGAAAAATGATCTGGTTCAGCTTTTGATCCATGTCTGTTGTTACTGTTTCAGCCCACTGCTGTCATTCATTACACACACAACAGGGCAGGAAGGGCCCCACATTTACAGTTGGATAGAGAACTAGCATCCAATGGCAGTGCTAATAGATGGTTCAGAGCTGAATTGCACACTAGTCATTCTCCTGCTGAGGCACGCACACTTCACATAATTGATTGGAGCACAATACATTTAGCAGACAGTGGACTTGCTCATTGTATGGATGTGATTCACATAGGTGATTTTTAATAAGAAAATGGCCAGGAGTTTTGGAAGGATTTCTTTTTCATTCCCTGTGACGTGGGATACAAAATGCATGGCCAGATGTATTTCATTCTGCTGGAAAACAATGAATGTAAAGCTATTCATTTAACACATTCTTTATGACAATGTGGAACTGATGTCTCACCAAGCTAACATCTTGACAGTGACAGTAAGATTGTCGATTTGTGACAAAAATAAGCACCAGTTTCACAATGTAGTTGCCACCAAACCTCAATATACCACCAACTCTGGCAGCTTTAACAAAAATCCTGTTGAATGTTGGCACGTAATTGCATTGGTGCAGAGAGCTAGAGGGGTTGTAAATACCAGCATCTGGCTCCACAGCGTTATAATCCCATCTAGCTGTGTCCCAAGATAAAATGCAGTACCAGGCAAATCCCACCACCTCTTTCACTTAGTTGGAAATGTATGGGATATCTCAGAGTGATTACTTACCAGAAATCTGGCTCAAACCTGTGACAACATCGTAATTCACGATCATGAATCCTTATAGCCTGAAGCTTTGGTTGATTATTCATTTACAAATATTTATTAGGTTTTATTTTATGTTCTGCGTAATGGGCCACTTTTGCTTTTTGTGTTGCCGAATTTTCCAGTCAAAAGGCTACAAAATAGTCAAAGCAAGCCAGGGAACTATCTCTCTGGAGGCACTTTTCCAACTGGCAACCTGTTCAACACTGGGCAGTCCACGACTACGTTTTGGAAATCACTCGATATTCAGTTTTCAAGTGACAGAAACAGTATTAAATGGCGGTGTCTGTGAGAGTCATGAGTCCAATCTGCCCTGACAGTTCTCTGAGCAAGTAGCAAGTTAAAAATATGACTCCAAGTCACTGATGTGCAATGGTGCCTGCCATTACTAAATATTGTGACATAATCATTGCGTGTCTCACAGATAATGATCTGCTTTTGATTATAAAACCAAATCAGTATTACTGTGCTAAGTAACAGAAATGATTCCATCTTTGGGGCAACCATAATCTTAAATTAAGTCTGACATGTTAAAAGAATCTCATATGGCATGTTGTATCTGCATCTTATTTTGGCTTGCACATGTGAATGTTTTATTTTATGTCTGGAAATGGGGAGCTGAACTGCTAAACTGGAAGTGAGCTGGTTTCTTCGTTCCTAAGCTCAAATGGTCAAGTCAGAATCCCCATGTTTACAAACAGAGAGGCCATCAATAATATCAACCTTCGATAGTGTCCTATATTACTTAACAAAAATATTTTACAGTATATTACAGTCATTAGTTGGGCCAGCATCTAATGGCTTTCCATTGAGAAGATGGTGATGAACTGCCTTCTTGCGATCCATGTGTTGTAAGTACGCTTCCCGTACTGCTCAGAAGGGAGTTTCAGGACTTTGACCCAGCAACATTGGGTACACACTCTGCCACTGTGCTTCAGAGTAGCCATGCTGAAAGTTTAAAGGGGTGCCAATCAGCTGGGCTCCTTTGCCCATGATGGTGTAGAGCTTCTCAAGAGATGTTGGAGATGTACTCATCCATGGAAATGGGAAGTATTCCAGCACACTCCTGGTTTGTACCTTGTTGATGGTGGATAGGCTGTGTCAGTCAATATCTGTTAACAAACTAGGCCTTTAGCCACAGGATCTTCAATCCATTTTAACACAAAGACTTTCTGAGCAGACTTTGGTATACTTCAGCAGGGTCACAGACTCGAGATCTCAGTTCTGGTCGCATCATATGACCAGAGGTTTTATCTATACATTTTTATGATTACAGTGATATTTTAAAACTCTTCTGAATAAACATATTGCACACTTAGAAGCTACTGTCATCTCTGCATTGCTCTGAGACAGATTGAATATACAACACACCAGTCTATTCCACATCTGGCATTTAAACCTATTTTCACTGAGGTACAATTGCACTGAAACTCACGTTCATTGCAGAAGTGACAATGTGGGTGCAGCAGCTGCAAAGTTTAAGTATTTGACATATTTATCCATCATCAGGGTAAGTGATTCATAGTGGAATTTATCACTCTGAAGGAACCACCGTTTTCTTGGTTTATTAAACATGTAATGCAAAATTGCTGTACTTCAAGAAAATGTTAAGACAAGTGTAGAGTTTAGAGATTCAATGTGGCAAATGACTTGCTGTATTCATTGTTATTGAAATGTTGTGGAATAGATTAATCAGAAGATCATTAGAATCATCAGTCCTACTGACAATTGCACGTGTTGGTCACCATCAGATTTTTATTCAACACATTTTTTCCTAAATTGTAAAACAAAATAAGTATTATTTCAATACAGCCACTCGTACTGTCCTTATGGCTGCATTGTAACCTTGCTGCATGTCAGATTCCCACGTACTATCCATATCCCGGTAAAGTGCTTCCTACTGAATGTACATCAGTATGATATCCTGACTGGCTGTGTATCATTCACTATTTCTGACTGGTTACATGCCAGTACGAACCCTCCCTGTGAGTCTGGATAATGCCTCCTACATCTAAGTGTCAGCACAGCATCCTTACTGTGTCAGTACAGTATCCATGCTTGTATCAGTATAGAATGCCTATCTGTGTATCCATAACCTACTGTATGCCAGTACAGTAACCCTCTATGTGTGTCAGCAGAGCAACCTTGTCTGTGTGCTGGTTCAATGGCCTCCTACTGTCTGTGTGCCAGTATAGCATCTCCAATTGATGTGTCAGTATAATACCCCTGACGTTGTGATAGTACAGTTCTTCTGTCTGTGAGTCAGTCCATTTGCCCTCCCTGTGGGTCAGTACAGTACCTCTGTCTATGTGCCAATACAGCTAAATACCTATGACTGTGATTCAGTAGAGTTCCCTGTCTGTGTCAGTACACTATTCCTGTCTCCTGTCTGTCAATGCAGTACCTCTGTGCGTGACAGTACAGTGTACATGTTTGTGTCAGTCCCGTATCCCTCAGTGTCAGTAAAGTACATCTGTCTGTCAGTATAGTTCTCCTGTCTGTGCATCCCTGACTATATGTTAGTACATCAGCACATAGTTCCCCTGTCTACATGCTCACAGCAGTAACTCTGAGTCTCAGTAAGGTTTCCCTGTCTGTGTCATGAACTTCCATCCACATGCCAGTGCAATAACTTTCTATGACTGTGTGCTAATATGGCACCTCTGATTGTCTTCGTGTCCGTACAGTATATGGGTGTTAGTGCCTTTATCTGTGTGCTAGTCTAGTGTATGGGTATGTGTAACAGTACCCCTTTCTGTGTCACAGATACAGTACGTGTTCCTGTTTGTCAGTGCACTTCCCTGGTCAGTGCAGTACTCATGTAAGTATTCCAGTGAGTATTCCCTACTCCCTGCACAGAGTTCATTGGACTGAGATCCGAAATCTGATTGAAGGAATGCTGTACCATCTTTAAACAAAAAAAGGGCAAAAGTTTACGTGATATGAATCCTTCGCATCAGATTGTTTCACTCTCCAAACCTTATCAACGCTGCTAGATATTCTTCTTGATCAAACGCTGCAACTGACAGAAGTTTAATTGATGGAGATTTCAGCTGAAGAAAAATGTTAGCTGTCAAGATGAAACGTGCACCATTAAAATTGTTGAAAAGTTCTGGACTAGCGTCTGGGACGTGGCGTCTGTATCGCCGAACGCCCGACTGTCAATGTCCTTTAGGGTCGCTTAGTTGTCCCTCGCACTTGCGACGTCTGTCCACCCTGTGCTTCAAAGTCTCCGGCGGGACGTCTACTAAAAACAGACGGATATGAAAAACTGAAAAGGGGTGGGGGGGTGGGGAAAAGCGTCAGAGAGATCGCAGTTCAGAGGCCCGGGTTAGACACGGGTGTGCCGGCAGGTCCTGGTCGTCCCTGAAGCGGTCGCTGCCGAGCCCGAGGTGGAAGGGGACGCCGCCTCGTTTCCTGAGTCGCTGTGATCGTCCTTGTTTAGACCCTGGCTGCTGATGTGGCTCTGCAGAGCGGCGGGCGTGAGCCACTCTTTGGGGAGGCAGCTCTGCAGGAACGGGATGCACGAACTGAAGTACGCCAGCCGGTTCACCCAGCGAGGGATCTCCTTCCCACACAGAATCTGGAAAACAACAAAAGCTCAGCTTCAGGGTCAGATAATAAACCAACTTCCCCGCGCCCCGGGCATACTGCACCTGGATGAACGCAATTCTGCATCTGGACCAGCTGGCAAACATACACCAAAAAGTAAACGCCTTTCTAAAATAAAGTCCTTTTAGTTAGCAGTTACGTGGATTCGATCTGGATAGTTTCAGTTCACTTCCCCCATTGGGGGCTATTCCAGAGTGACAATTCCCAGACGTTTCAAAAAGAAACAGCGTGTGTGGCGACGGCGGAGACCAGTAACCGAGACTCTCTGTTACCGAGATCCAGGAGCCCGTTTCAGTGACTCCGGCCAATGTCAAGCAGCGACGGCCGGAACAACAGAGGAGGAACACGAAAAAGATAAACTCTATTGCAGTAAAGTCTTGCATTATATTCAGTGTTTCAAGATGACGCCAGAGCATGGTGACACTTTGCATATAACACGTGAAAAAATACTTTTCACTGTATTGTGTGACAGTACATCTAAATCTAATCTAAGACAACAAGGTGCAGGGCTGGATGAACACAGCAGGCCAAGCAGCAT